CGCGCATGCCTCCGAGAAATGTTTCTCACTCTTCTAGTTAAAGAATGAAAACGAGTAGTAACTATGAAAAGTAGGTTTCGAGAACCTTTAAAAGCTTCTAACAGTGCTCACAATTACAGATTCATCATCCTGAAATGGTTTGTTGTGAAGCGGAGATCTTGCCGCGATATAAGCAATTTAAACACGATCCTGTCACGATCACTAGTGAAACAGTCGATTTCAATGGCGATCGTGCGGCGAAACAAGCAAATTCAGTTACAATCTTGCTACCATCTCAATCGCGATCCTGTCGCGAACTGTTTCCGAATACAACAGCGAATTTTTCGCGAAACGCGAAAAATTGACGAATATTTGCGTCCGCGATTCAAATTGGATATTGCGCGGCAAGATTGTGACAAGATTACTATGGCCTCGCGACGTGCTGCAATGAAGCGCGAATTCTACTAGGGTAGTTGATTCCCTGAAAAAAGAAAGGAAGAATTGCGTTTTTTGCCCATTCTTGCTGGAAGTTGATTCTCTGCAACAAACCAAGAAATAAAAGCAAGAATAGTCACCATAAATCAAAGAGACTTCTTGCACCAAAAAAGCAAGATCTTGTCACATTTCTTGCGCAAGATCTTGGGCAAAAAAAGCCCTCGCAAGAAAGTCGACTAGGGCATGAGCTGTGATGGACTGATTAGTCGATCATCAAAAAAAAGATTCTCACGGGTTATGCCTACTTCAGAGTCCCTACCCAAAATATCTCATTAACGTTTTGTTAGATTCTGATAACATTTGCAAATAATAGCGCTATTGATGAAAAAGTTTCTCTCTAATAGCATTGTTTTATACATTATATCATTTGTAGCAGGTACTCAATTCATAATAGTACAGTAACGACCTCTTCTTTCACAGACTTGCTAGTTGCATCACTGTCAGATTGTCTCAGCGACTTTAATTTTCGATAGGAATCTCTCATCAAACTATCATGATAAGTCCAGACTTATTCGACAACCGGGATCTCAATTCTCGGAAAGGTATAGGAGAGTGTTGTCAGTTTTTTTCAGCGAAAAGTTTATAAAAAAGTTAGCTCTTTCACAGTGCGTCGACTGATTCTACTCTGCGGACCATCTCTATTTGGGTTGTACTGCCTCGAAGACACATTCAGTTTTACATTACCTCTAATATTTGACTTCTATTTGCAGCACTGTCGAATCACCCGTATACTTCAGAAAGAAAAAGAACTTTCCAATGATAAAAGTTTCTTGAAAAAATCAGTGAAACACATATACTTTTCATAAAAATGTGAGTTGCAACAAAATTGATAATATCTGAAAACATCATGCGAGACCTCTAATTTTATATGACAACGACGTGCTAATGTCAGAAAGGTTTACTTGTGTCTTCAGGTAAAAAGTCTGGTTTCTTTTTTCTTTTTGAGTGTGTATATTTCTATCATATATATATATAGGCATGATGAAGGTTCTTTGTATTATAATTTTTGTCGGAGTAATAGAACAAGAAGAAAGAACGGGCACATGTTTGCTTTCCTCTTAAAAGCAAAAAAATACTATTTCATTCAAATGTATGCACGTTGCAGACGTTATTGTTCCCTTTAAACGTAGTATTTTTGCCTTATTTTTATTCACAAACAAAGTGTAATACAAAAATATGAAATTTTTATCTTATACTTTGATAAGAAAACTTATCTATTTGTGGAAGTTTCTATTCTTGGGTACGGTATGTTTGAGAAATCTTTACGTGAAATATCCTGGTTTTTTCTTGTTGTGTATGCAATTTGCATATACAACAAGGAAATGCATAATACAAATAGTGAAGATTGTGTACTGACCGTTATCAGTCTATTTAGTAAGATCGAAGAAATACGAAGGAGTTACATAATTCGGTGAAGCATCTGATAACTTCTTCGAGATAAGATATTATTAGTAGAAACTTTTACTAATATGTTCGTCTTTCAAAATGTAAATTTGTGGTTGAAGAAGCGATGAATCATCGAGATTCACTGTTCTCTTGAAGCAATCGTATGCAAACACTAATGACCGAGAAAAGAGAGAATCAAAATGTTTCTTATTTTATCTATCCATTTGTCTTTGAAGTTCCGTTTTATTTAACGTTTTATTCACATTTTTATCTCCTTCTTACTAGACGTTGCTGATTGCACTGTAAAATGTAATAGCAATGTAAATTAAATGGGAAAATTCCAGTAGCTCACTACACTGTAGAAAAAAATGACGTAACAAGTGGAAAGAAGCAGAATAATGTAAAATTCACACTATACTACTTCAGATGATTTATTCTGCGATATTTCGCCACACTGTGAGCAAAATAATCACGATGTTCTACTATATTCCAGAATCTCACAGAATATGTAAAAAGTTCGGGACCATATAGCACAATTGCGAGACATAGTGAGGATTTCGTTAAGATTTTGTTCACAATGTGGTGAAATATCGCAAAAATAAATCCCCTGATGTAGATACTGTGTAATCTGCTTTTTGTCGCCTTTTACTGTCATTTTTTTACAGTGTATGTACGACAGTGAAGTGACAATGTCACTTATTCGATATTTTGCCATTTTATGAATTTTTGAACTTGTTTGTTTACTCCTACATGTTCTGTATAAAGACTAATTTTCCTTTTGACTCATTTCCATTGGTTGCAATCATCAACAAATCAGCTTCGATAGGCGCTAGTCTTCTTACTGCAATCTTTTCTCTTACAATATTTTTCAGTATTTCAGACAGCATTAATTTTAGTTCCACATCATTGCAGCATATTCCGGAACTAAACATCACGATGCAAAATATGTTGAAAACAGTTTTCAGCACAATATTCTGAAACAGGGCGTGAGAGTAGAAATGAATCAGCCACACGGTATGGCTAGCTAACTCTGCTACCGTAACGGAATTCCTTAACCTTTTTTCTTCATTTTGTTGTGCCGATATACGTCAAACCACGCAGAGACTAGTGATACGTCTTAAATTGAAGAGAAAAGCATTGTGAACATTTTAAGATGTATCTGCACTCTAGAAAATGCCTCTTTCTGAAATTCAACTTTTCAAAAATTCAAATTCTTCGGAATCGAACAGTAGTACTCAATGTTTTATTGAAATCTTCAGAAAGAGGCGTTTTTAATGAGTGCCGATACATCTTAAAATGTTCGCAAGGCTTTTCTCTTCAATTTAAGATGTTTCGATAGTCTCTGCGTAGTTCGGTTTAGTATATACCGACATAAAAAAATGAAGAAAAAAGGTTAAGGAATTCCCTTGCGGTAGTAGATTTAGCTGGCCATGCCACACAGTTTTTGGCCAGTTAACTATATGTTCAACATTGTAGATCTGAGAACTGACGAACAGAATGTTTTAAATTTTTTGTCTGAGTCTATAATACATTTGTAGAATTTTTGACATATGTATCGAGCGTAAAAAACGTGTATATAAATACGTAGATCACAGTCGATATATATATAAAAAGTGACCATTTAATGAGTGCTTCAGAATAAATGAGCCTCTCAGTATTTTGACTATAAGTTTTTTTCCTTCATATCCTTAGTCCGGATAATTATTCAATAACAATTTGGATAATGAAAAGTAAAAGTCTTCAGTAAACTGCACTTTCTAAATAGGAGAAAGTTGAATATTCGTCAAAAATTCTTCGCGCTTTGATGTGGTACACTTAGTTTGATTATGATCAAATGTTGGATCTGAATGATCAACGAAGCCTGTCCCCACGGATAGAGAGAACGTCAACAGCAAGAAGTTTGCCAAAGTTTGGATACAGCACAGTTTTGGTAATGAACAAACACGAAATATGTCGACAATCTTGTTTTTGGTGATAAATTCTTTGATGCTGTTATCCCAGAGATGATGATTAGAGCTAATCAGACCCTTGCTTTTGTTTGAAACTATTGTTTCCCCTCGGTGGCAGCCTTCCTCTCAGCTTCAGCACGATTTATTGTCTATATTCTATCTTTCCTTGCGAACTTAAAACCCCATCGGTATCGAAAACTGTCTCGTTACAAAAAAATATTATCTACAGATTTCATGTTTGTTCTTTATCAAAACCGTGCTATATCCATTTGGCAAACGTCTTGTTGTTGACTTTCTCTTTGTCTACGGGGGACCGGCTTAGTTAATCATTCACGTTTGATCGTAATCAAACTAAATGCATCGCTTAAAGCACAAAGAATTTTTGCGGAATAGTCGACTTTCTCCTATTTAGAAAGTGCAGTTCACTGAAGAATTTTGCCTTTTATTATCCAAATTGTTATTGAATAAATATCGCAGTATTCCAAATACTCCGTTTTTTGTAGAGAATTTTACGACGCATCTCTTGAGAAAACAATCAGGACTAAGGACTTGAAGAAAAAAAGAACTTATAGTCAAAATACTGCGAGACTCACTTATTCTGCATCATCCGTTCACATGCGAATCCTATGTATATGTACTAAGCCATATAATTCAAAATTTGAACGATTTGATTGTTATACAATATGATGTTAGAACTCCTTAAGAATCGATTATACAATAATATTTTGTGTTTTTAACCATTCAATAATCTGATGAAATGTGTCAATAAATGAGTCAAACCATTTTAACCATTCAGATGTTTGTTCTATGAAAAGAGAAAAATTTTCAGGTGTAAGTTTATTTACAGGTTTTTGTTTTATATCGATTATTGTATCAATAACAGAATTTGTATTTGGTAATTTAAAATGTTCCATAAAGTTTTCATCATAGGATGATATAATTTTTTTTAAATCCATATTGTCTGTGAACAATTTCAATCGATTTTGTTGATCGGATAATCGAATAAGATCATGAAACATACCACGTGTTCCTGTTAAAATATATAAACGATGTTTAGAAAAAAAGCTGAATCATTGTTGATAGTAGTGCATGCACAGTGGGCACCCATATGGACATTAGGTGAATAACTGAAAGTATACTTTTTTGACGATTCAGATAGTACTACATATAACGGATGGCGCATAATTAACGGGGCACTTTTATTCTTTATTTTTAAGGCACTTTCGAAAGATCTAAAAATCTGGTTCTAGTCTCATTCGATAGAGAATTGAATTCTCTACAGAACGGATTGATGAAAGTTCAGCACGAGGAATTTTCAGCACGGGAAATTTCAGCACAGGAATAATCAGCACGATGATTGTTCAGAACAGAAATGATGAGCACTAAGAAAAATCAGCGAAAATATTGAATGAGTCATAATAATTTATACAACGTCAATAAGTTTTTTCATTTGTTAATCGATCCATCATATATGAATAACCGTTGAGATCTAAACGTGGTTTTTGCTTTGTTGTACCGTTATTAGAAATTGCTGCCATATTGAAGAATTGATAATG